CACACCCTCTGTATATATATATAGTATATATATATATATATATATATATATATATATATATATATACACACACATATATATACAGTATCTCACAGAAGTGACACTAACACTAAATTAGGTTTAATGCCTCGTTATTCCACACAGAATAGCGCATGCTGTCCTGGAAGGGAGGTTGCAGTAGTAAATTAATGCACGAGTCTGAGCTTCCATTGGTGAGAGTAGCTGACAACTTTCAACCTCAGTTTATTTTTCTGTCATCTCTCATGTGTGATCTACACTTCTCCATCTTCCTCGACTTCTGTGCCATACCTCAAGCTTTAGTACATCGTGCTGTAATTTCCTCTGAAACTCCAGGAAACTGCCGATGGTGAGCTTGCCCTTCAGGTCAGCCCCGAAAAAGTAGGTGGTGAGGGCTGAACTGCAGCCTCCTGTTTTCAGAGTATTTCCTGTGGTGGAGCGATCTCTATGTCTCATGCCCATACTGGTCTGAGAACGGATGATACTCTGAACCTGGAAAAACAGAAATAATGATTCATGTGAATGACTCATTACATTTATGTAGCACTCTTCTGCAATTCCTCTCAAAATGCTTTAAAGGGAGGAGGAATCTCCTCAACCACCAATGTGCAGCGTCCACCTGGACCAGAAAACACTCCACACTGAATATCAGTAGAGAGAGAGTAATGCAGCAAAAGAGATGGAGAGGCAGGTGAATGAGGAGGAGGAGGAGAAGAACAAGGAGGATGAGGATGAAAAGAAGACGATGAAAAAGGAAAAAGGTGAAAGAGAAGAACAGCAAGGAGGAGGATAAGAAAAGGGGGAGGCTGAAGAACTGGAGGAAGAGGAAGAGAAGAGGAGGATGAGGAGGAGTAAGAACACGAGAAGGAGGAGGAGGAGAAGAACGGGAGGAGAATAAGGAGGAGGAGAATGAGAAGAAGAGGTTAAGAAGAAGGGGCAGGAAGAGGAAGAGGTAGAACATAATTAAGAGGAGGAAGAGGAGTAGGAGGTTAAGTAGAAAAAGGAGGAGGAGGAGGGGGAAGAATGAGGAGATAGAGGGTGAAGAATAAGGTGAAGAATGAGGAGAAGGAGAAAAATTAGGAAAAAATTAATGGAGAAGAAAGAGGAGGTGGGAGGAGGAAGAGACGTAGAAAAAGGAGGAGGAGAAGGGGGAAGAATGAGGAGTAGGAAGAATAAGGCGAAGAATGGGGTAGGAGAAAAAGAAGAAGAAAAGGATGAGGAAGCAGATAGATTGGCAGGAGGAGAAGGATCATGTGGATATGAACAAGAAGCTCTTTGTGCTCCTTATTGTTCTTCTATTGGTCTTTCATTTTCTCCTCCTCATGCTGCAGATGGACAGAAAAAGAATGAGGGTTAAGAGGAGGAGAAAGAGGAGGACATAAAAAGAAGTTCCTATCTTCTTCAGTAGCCTCATTCTTTCTAAAGTTACTATTTATCAATCACAGATGAACACTGAACTTAAGCTGCACTCCACGGAAAAGAGAAACAGTGAGGAAGACAAAAGCTCTGGGAGGAATTCAAGGACTCTTTTCAGGGTGAAGGTGTAAATGTTCAGGTGTCCAGGGACCGGTGGAGGTCCAGAAGGAATAATTAGCATTCAAGGGTATTTAACTCCTGAGGCTCTCTGGGAATAAGGGAAGCATGCTGTTTAGCAGTGATGCATGTGTGGTTCTGGGACAGCAACTAAAGATTACTATCAATAAATCAATAAATGACTGCATAAATATATACTGCCATTTAATCAGGGGCTGAAATGCTGCTAAAGATCAAGCATTTTTAGACTGATATATTCCCTTAATATAGTGTAAGTGTAGTATTTTAAAAGACTGATGTTATGAGAGGGAGTAAAATTTGTTTCCTAAAACAAATAGCTCTAACCTTAAATTCTTCAGTAGGATGATCTGTGATGAACATGTACCTGTCACCTTAGACTATATTTAGGTTAATAAGCATAGTTGTTTAAATGATTAATATTAACAAATGTAATTATATAATCAAACATCAGTCATCTATGAACTCAATATATTTCAGAGTGATGTAAATGTAGTGTGGGATATTATCCATGGGGATTTGATTAGATTGTGAAAAGTGGTTGTTAAATAATCAAGATAGTATGAAGGATTCATCACAAAGTAATTTTAGAGTTGGAACATACATTTGTTTTTTATTTGGAATATGCACTAATCATACATATTGTAAAAAGACTATGAACAATAAAGTAAATGGGTTCAATTTGATTTCATGCTGACTTTAAAACTAAGGCGAAACAATGTGGCTTCAATAGAAACTAGACGGAGTAAAGTTTGAGAACAAACTTTGAAGTTGGCTTGAGAAAGCCTAGTCTGAAAGTTTGAAGCAGTTTAGATGTTGTTAACATGTTGCTAGTATAATTTTTGCCTGATTAGCATGTTTTAAACACGATTAGCATGTTTCTAGCATGATTAGCAAGATTAGTATGTCTTTAGCATGGTTAGCATGTTTCTAGCATGATTAGCATTTTTTTAGATTAATTACCATGTTGCTAGTATGCTGTTAGCATTATTAGCATGTTTCTAGCATGATTACTATGTTGCTAGCATGTTCTTAATGTGATTATCATGTTGCTAGCATGTTCTTAACATGATTAGCATGTTGCTAGCATGTTTTTTTAACATGATTTAGCATGTTGCTAGCAAGATTCTAGCATGATTACCATTTTCTAGCATGATTAGCATGTTGCTAGCATGTTTTTAACATGATTTAACATATTGCTAACATGAATGAAAAAAAAACTAGAAAAAAAACAAGCTAAACCAAGTAAAACCAGTTCATTTAACAAAAATCAGCTAAAACCAGCTGATAAAAAAAAAAAAAAAAAAACCCAGATCATTTAGCAAAAAAGAAAAAAAAACAGTTAACCAGCTAAAACCAGTTGATTCAGTAAAAAACAAACAAACAAACAAAAAAAAACAGCTAAAACCAGCCTAGATTTGTCTAATCTTAGGTGGTTTAAGATAAAAATAGCTGTTTTAAGCTTGTTTGGTCTTTAGCAGGTCTCCCAGCTTGACCAGCTAAAACCAGCCTGATCAGCTAAAAAGTGGCCAAAACCACTTTAAAAGCAGCCAACAAGCTTAGGTTGTTTTTAGCAATTTTTTCAGTAGGGAGTTGTTACGCTTTGCTATAGCAATAGACAGCTTAAATACACCATTGTACAAAGGTTTTCAGCCCCCTCAATGAAAGTCTATGGGATTTTTGGTGGTTTTGATAGTCTGGTTTACAAAAACCGTAAGTAGCATCAGTTAGAAAAGATATAGCACACCAAGTCAGACCAGTCTGAAGGTCTGCCCCGAGGTTGGTGGTTGTAGCTTTAAAGCTCTAGGAGGAGTTACACCGTGTCTATACCGAATGCGACCTTTTTCGCACCACAACAGCTAACGTCTGTCTACACTGGACGCGACCGTTGCAAATCATTTTAATTTGTGACAGTACGTCATAGAACGAGGCAGCAGTTTACTGTCTGGGATTTGCTGCATCCAGTGTAGACCGCATCACTGATTATAATGGGTTCTATAGTATTTTGTCGCGTCGCGCCGTGCCGCTCGCTTCCGGTGTAGACATGGTCTTAGTGTTCAAATTTTGGCTCAGAACCCTGTTGAAAAAACCAGCATATGCTGGTTAGGTATGTTTTGAAGCATGGCTGCTGGTTTGATCCGGTTTAAGATGGTCATGTGCTGTCCTAAGCAACTAGCACCTGCTGAGGATCAGCTTAGGACCAGCACATTTCCAGCTCATGTTCAGCTAAGGACCAACTTAAACCAGCTCAAACCAGCAGCCATGCTTCAAAACATACCTAACCAGCATATGCTGTTTTTTTCAACAGGGAAGAAGTAGCAGCAGCAGCTAAAATAGTGGATCTGTAAGTTGGCTTTCTCAAGCCAACTTAATAAAAATGATCTTATTTGAGAAGCAACTCACTTTTCTACAGTTTAAAGTTTCTTTTTTTTTTTTTGTAATTTCCATTTCTAACTAAACTTATTAAAACCATATGCTGGTTAGGTATGTTTTGAAGCATGGCTGCTGGTTTGAGCTGGTTTAAGCTGGTCCTTAGCTGGTTATGAGCTGGTTTAAGCTGGTCATGTGCTGTCCTAAGCTGGTCCTAAGCAACTAGCACCTGCTGAGGATCAGCTTAGGACCAGCACATTTCCAGCTCATGGCCAGCTAAGGACCAACTTAAACCAGCTCAAACCAGCAGCCATGCTTCAAAACATACCTAACCAGCATATGCTGTTTTTTTCAACAGGGAAGAAGTAGCAGCAGCAGCTAAAATAGTGGATCTGTAAGTTGGCTTTCTCAAGCCAACTTAATAAAAATGATCTTATTTGAGAAGCAACTCACTTTTCTACAGTTTAAAGTTTCTTTTTTTTTTTTTGTAATTTCCATTTCTAACTAAACTTATTAAAACCCGGGCCAACAAACAGGCAATACACTATGCCTTCACCCTCGCATCAGTTCCCCCTTGTCTTATTTCAGCTGTATATCCATAGACTGACTACTGGAGGACCACATTCACAGACAAGAGCATTAAATATATTCCCTTTGATGTGGCCAATATATTTGCTTGGTTGAGGCACATACAGTGTGTTTACCAGTGGGCACTGTGTATACCCAGAATGCTTTGCGAAAGAGAAAGACCTAATACTAACCAGGTGAATGACTCACAGTGACTTTACAAATGAAAGGCAAATGTAGCCTGAGGGGCAAACATAATTAAAACAAACAGCTGAAAAGATGTGTAAACAAAATACACAAACGGCCACTACACAGTCAGAAAAAAGCACCACAATGCCTTTAAGGGTACTGCCACAGTGACAAGCTGTTGTACCCCTCAAGGAACAATTTTGCAAATTTTTTGCCTTAGAGTGTACTAATGAAATGTGTTCATCTGTACCTTTAAAGGTCTTTGTGTTCACCTACTTGCTCAAACTCCTCAAGGTCGACCTCTCCATCTCCATTTAAGTCAAACATCTTGAAGGCGATTTCAAAGTTCCTTTGAGGAGCTGTAAAGGGACAAAACCAGTTTGCAACTTAAAGGTATGTCACCATTTACATTCACTAACACATAACAGATATTTCTGCATTTCTTAACAGTTTAAAAATATTACAATACATCAAATTTGTTTCACATTTTTTATTGTTCATTTGTAATTCTGTGGTGCTAATTATTATAGTACTATTTATTTTCATGTAGCATCAATATTTTGGTCAGGTACATTTTAGAACTTCTATCATTAGTTATGAAACATTGGTTTAGTACAGGTAAGTTTTTGTACTAATTGTGCATGTTTTTTATTTTTTTAAAGATCTTTTGCAAGGATGGGAACATTCTAGAAGTTTCTGTAACATTCTGGAATATTCTAACTTTTGGTAACTGTTTATGTAAAACTGCTGATAATGATACATAAAAAGCAATGTTTACATCAAGTAAAGATTCAGTTATATCAGTGCCTAATAAAAGCTGTTTAATCCTACATAAGGGCGGTCCACCGTCATGGTGGCAGCCATGATGAAATCACATGACCCAATACTGCTCACTTTAACTTCATAACTTCTCATTATCGTAAACTTCTAGTTGCGGAATAAACTACCAGGTGATAAACAGCCTTTGAATAAAGTAACTTCTATAATGACAACAGTAAGCGAAAAAATTTGCTCTTGCATGATGCTGGACATGCCTACACCTATAGGTATCAATACTGAGTCCAACAACACTGTCATAACAGCTAGCAAAACAAAAAGAGATTTAAAAGAAATACACAAAACACACTCAAGACACTTACTGGAAAGGACAGTTGTGAGGAAGATGTAGTCAGAGAAAGAGATGAGTCCACACTCCCCCAATGTGTAGAAAATGCTGTCCTCATCGGCAAACTTCTCTCTGTCCTGAGAGATCTTCTACAGGAGCCCACAGAGAAACAGAGAAGAAAGAGTCAGCAATGCTTCTGTTGAACACCATATGGAGCATCTGAGTCCTGTTTAAGAGCTGAGCTCCACAGAGTCTGAACAGAGCAGCAAAGATAAAGGAACTAGCATGCTAACACTGACACAGCACAGTACAACCATGCAAGTGATGCAGTCATACAAGACACAAGCAAAAATAAAACAACATGAAAAGGGTGTTAAAACAGACATTTCATAAGTGTCACGTATAAAGCAGCACATATGATAGGCTGTTTCTCAAAATCAAGTGAGCTGCCTACCTAGACAGCATTTTTGGACATCAAGCATGTTCAGACAATCAAATAAAGGCGGGCAAATCAAGTGGGTTACTTACCTAAACAACATTTTTGAGCTTCATATGAGTGTTCAAATGCTCAAATTAAGTGTTTCCTACCTAAACAGTCATAATAGATGCATTTGACCAAATCAAGGAGGTTGTCAACATTGTCAGAATCATGTGTGTGCTCAAATGTTTGAATCAAGTGAGTTGACTAAACAGCGGTTCTTAACGTCACAGGTGCACACCTAAACAGCGGTTCTTAACGTCACAGGTGCACACCTAAACAGCAGTTCTTAACATCACAGGTGCACACCTAAACAGCAGTTCTTAACGTCCCAGGTGCACACCTAAACAGCAGTTCTTAACGACACAGGTGCACACCTAAACAGCAGTTCTTAACGTCACAGGTGCACACCTAAACAGCAGTTCTTAACATCACAGGTGCACACCTAAACAGCAGTTCTTAACGTCCCAGGTGCACACCTAAACAGCATGTGATAAGGGTGCCTATGATGCTCAAAAATGCTCTCTATGTAGGCAGCTTACTAAGATTTGAGATGCGTCTTTATTGAACAACATAGTAAGTGCTGCAATCACTGACTTTGCTTCACAAATCGCAAGATCACAGTATTTGACATTTCCGCAGTAAACAGGTTCACATTTTATGAGCATGAACGAAGGTGACTCCACAGTGTTTTTTTTTTTACCTGTTTTTGGCATAGAAAGACAGAGAAAGAATCAGAACCCTCAAGTGTGAAAGTACACACACATATACACACACACACACACACACACAAAAAGCATGCCAGAGCTCAGCTTCTGCTGATGCATCTTGTTACCTCTGTCTGGGGTGGATCCCATCAGTGAGTAGAGGGGAAGAAAGAGCGTATTAAAACAACCTGACCATTGCACGGACAATCAGGCCCACCACACACCATAAGTGTATAAACACACCATTGCATACACCCAAATCCAGCCTTTTTCCCTTCATGCTAACACACAAACACGAATTTATGCAACATCCCACACATACTTCCCACTGAACACACACTCCCCTCTGTGACAACATGATACAAGCCGATAACAAACGATACATGCTTCCATCGTCACTTTTGCATCAGTAAATCAAAATTAGGAAATGAGATTTCCCTCTGAAACTCTAAGCAATGTTTGCTAATGATAGCATCGCTACTGCTATTACTCAGGGTCTAAACAGACCTCTAACCCTAATTATTGTATATCTATGAAATTCTCATTTCTAAATCATTAGTCTCAAAATTCTGCAAATATCTGTGCAATATTTTTTGAATAATGATACTAAATGATTGACCTTTAACCCAGGCAACTTTCCTGCATAGTTTCATGTCTGTCGTATTACTCTCTGCTCTTTCTCATCACAATAAATAAACCGGAAGTGCTGTTAATGCCATCTTGCGGCAAGACACAATAGTTCATTTGACGCTACGCTCCAAATGCATGGGTATTCTCTATCGGCTAGCCATTCAGTGTACATCTGCCTTACACTTGTTATTGAGGAGGATTATGGGATTGAATGAGGACAATCATTAATGTGGTTTTGCACATCACTACAAATAGCTGTCCCTTCAAACAGTGCACTAGATAAAGGTATAGGGGATGATTTCAGACAGAAACTGCAAAGCAATGCCATAGCAACCACCCAGAACACCCTAGCAACTGCATAGCAACACCATAGCAACCACCCAGAACACCCAAGCAATGCCATAGCAAACATACTGTCTTCATAACATGAAAAACTAGCATAAGTGATTGCTTTTCTGCAGTTTTCTCTGTGACGTGTGTGCACTGGGGACAAGGTGAACACAGGTTATTTTTATACCAGCTCTGAAACTGTGAAACAGGTGCTGCAGTAGAAGCTGACAAAAGCAAACATGTGTGTGTGTGTGTGTGTGTGTGTGTGTGAGAGAGAGGAGGGGGCGGGGCTAATAACCTCCAAGCTAATTGTGTCCCTGCTGTCACCTTCAGAGACACTCAAGAGACACAGTCTTATCCAATGTTAGTAGTAGGGATGTCAAACGCACCAGCACTTTAGTACCAAGTCGACATGACAACGTAACTATAACAAGTCTTTCTACAGTATCAGTAACACCAGGTACCAACTCAATTCAGTATCCACAATTTGAATAAAGAATGATGCAATTTCAGTGGAATTTCACAAGTATTTGTATCATCTACTGAAATTCTGGTATCATGACAACACTAAGAAAGGGTGCTCAGCAGGACGCGTGTTCACACTATGCTAAACTCTTTGTGCGGAGACACGATGAGAATGGAGAACGAGGGAAGAGGTGAACCTTCCCAGACGGTCTCTGCTGAGGAAAATGAAAAAGGATGTGGGTTATGTGGCAAAAATGAGAAAGAAAAAACTCTCGTTGGTGCTCATATCAAACTGGGCCTGAGTTTTCAGGCTGCTTCAGACTTGTTTTGAATACTTGCCATTAATGTAAACATGAGTAAAACCTTTTTGCCTCCTGGAGCATTTTTTTAATTTTTAGAATATTTCTAACCATATAAATTCTATAACTGCTAGAATACATTTCAAATTGTTGGCAGTTCAGTGTTTGATTTGATGAGCTCTCTAGTGTGTACCATCACTAGATTTTGATGGAACCACTCTTACTGCTCCAGGTGTGTGTTCACGGTGTGTGTGTTCACTGCTGTGTGTGTGCACTTTGGATGGGTTAAATGCAGAGCACTAATTCCGAGTATGGGTCACCATACTTGGCCATATGTCACGTCACGTCACATGTCACTTAAACATTTTCAATTTGTATGAAGTGCTCTGTCCATGTTTTCTGTTTACTCAGCCATTGTTTGTAAACTTTATGCAAACAACGTAGCACTGAAATAAAAAAAAACTAGTGCTGTCTAACGATTAATCGCATCCAAAATAAAAGTTTTTGTTCACATAGTATATGTGTGTACTGTGTATATTTATTATGTATATATAAAAACACACACATACAGTATTTATTTTGAAAATAAGTACATGTATATATTTATATTAATATAATTTATATTATATAAATATATTTAATATATAAACATAACATATTTTTCTTAAATATATACATGCATGGTTGTGTATTTATATATACATAATAAATATACACAGTACACACACATATACTATGTGAACAAAAACTTTTATTTTGGATGCGATTAATCGCGATTAATCGTTTGACAGCACTAAAAAAACATGCTATTAAAGCATACTGTTAACTTAGAAACATCTAGCCAAGTAAACAAGGCAGTAGATAGTTTGTTACACTTTCTAAAATAATATGTCTATATAGTTAATACCCAAATGAACACATAGACCTCAATACTTGGTACACAATACACAACGACGGTAACAATCAGTGGATAGTGTTTGAGTATGAATGGGTCGTTTTGAGTAGAAAACGAACTCCAGATGTCACAAAACAGCAAGTTACTAAACACAACAAAAGCAACAGTGAAAAATTTAATTATTCATGCAGCAGTGCATGATGGGAACACCAGTGTAATAACTTGTAATAAATTTACTCAAAGAATCCTTGTAAACAAAAACAATTCCAAGTAAAATATACTTACAAGTTCGAAGCTTGAGTTGAGTACTGATATAGAATAAACTTTTTAAAATTACTGCCTGAACTAAATTATTTGATGTAGAAATTACATTAGTTTTTCCATAGTATTTACTTCACCACAGAATATTTTTTTATCGGTGTATCTGGTTTTACTATCAAAATGACACTTGAGTCTGTTTTTGAGGTGCAAAGTACATGATTTCTGCTGAGATAAGTTACTTTAGGATAATACAATTTTTTTAATTAAAACATTCTGCTGAGGAAAATATGTATAGAAAATAAATAAATAAAATCTACGGTAAGATATTAACAATGAAATAATTAGGGATGCACCGAATGTTCAGCAACCGAAATGATTCGAATAAGCGAAAAGAACGAATAAATTGTACCGAACAATGAGAGGTGCACACTCTTTATTGTGCAGCACACACGTCAGCAGTGTGGAAGCATTAAAAACTGTTCGAGAAAGACGCAAAAATCATTACAAGCACCGACAGCGAGAGACTGTTTAGTACTGCAGCACATGTCTTCGATGAGAAGAGGAAGGGGTGATTGTTGCTGGTTACTGTACGATGATTGAAATTGTGAAATGGCCTTAAACAATTAGAAAATAAACTGCAGAACGTTATGTTTTCTAATACACGCACGCATTGCATGTATTCTGACAGAGCTTCACGAACTCACTGCGCTATCTGCTTGTTAACCAGGGTTCAAAGTTCAAAGCCCGAGGAAAATCTGCGCTGAAACAGCGTTACTCGTCAGTTGCATTTTTATGAATTTTTACAAGGCATGTGACAATGCGATACCTACGACGTATTCGTAATGAGACTCGTTTATAAATCTGCTGTCAACAAAAACCATTAAGGTCTTCCTGTGCGTTTCCGTCAAAATGAAAGTTGAGAAAAAGCAAGAACTATCAACATTCATAAACGTTAGTATTGTAATTTTACTGTTGTTCTGTAAAATAAAATAAAAAGTAAGACAATAATAATGATAATAATCATTACAACAGCTCTGTTAATAACGTTCACACACAGTGTTCAAATTAGGACCTGTAATATTTTCTAATGTTTTAAAAGTAGTCTCTTCTCAGCAAGGCTGCTTTTAATTGCACAGTAAAAAATACATGCCCTGATTCAAGAAGCGGGCGGATCTGATGGCCAAACAATATTATTTTACTAACTCATTAATTTTAAGTTAAATTGTGCTTTGTTGGTATAGCGTCTGCTAGAATGATAAAAATGTTCAGTGTTAAATATTTTTTAGTTGTTGTTTTGTAATTTATTTTCCTCTTTGAAAAGCAAGACAAAACAGTAAAAAGCACATTTCGGCTATTTAATTTATGCAATGGTGAAAACAAATTGGCATAAAATACATGGGGGAAAAAACGTGTTCGGTATTCGGCCTTCGGCCCAGTGTTTCATTTTGTTCGGTTTCGGCCCAGAATTTCCATTTCGGTGCATCCTTAAAAATAATGTTTGTAGATGATGACTCAGCTGATGTTGATTCAGCTGATCCAACAGCACTACGATGGGCATTGACCTACTTGAGCTGAACAGCAGTTTGAACCACTTTGCTAATTAGCTTACTCAAACGCATCTGTCACGTGTATATAGCTCGGTTTCTTTTGTTCTAGTTTTCCCTCCACTAGTTTGTTTCCTTGGTTTAATCAGCTCGTCACCTGTTTTTGTTCTCCCTAATTATGTTCCTCTGATTATTTAAGCCCCGTATTTTCCTCTGTTTCCTGATCTTGCGTTAATGTTGGATAAAGTTAGATCTTTGTAGAATCCCTAAATACTCTATTTTTTGGATTATACTCCTTCGTCATGTGCTTAATCCCTGCAAGCATGAAACAGCATATTATATTAACACATATTATATAGTAATAAGCTTCATCCACAACATGAGCATACTATTACAAATGATATTTGCACTGACAATGAAGTGAAAAATGTGTGTGGTAGGAAATTCTAAACCACATATAATACTACAGTAAACTCATTATAGTTCAAATTATCACAAGGATAGTTTTCATATGTTGTACTTTATGTTGATAAAACGTATATGTTTAAGTTCAAGGCTTATATATTTGTGGTCTTCTCGGTTTGATACATTTTTGTAATTTTCCACATTATTATCAATTGTAAACTATTGCATCCAAGTGCAGAGTAAAATGAACATATATATAGGACGGTCATGATCAAATGTTGACTACATTTTAAGGACACTCTTAA